GGCTTGGTTAGGGTTTCTATTGCTGTGAAGAGACACCATGACCACAGCAACTCTTATAAGCGAAAACATTTAATTGGGGTGACTTACAGTTCAGAGGTTTAGTCCATTATTATCATAGTGGGAAATGGCAGTGTGCAGGGAGACATGGTGCTGGAGAAGGAGCTAAGAGTCCTACATCTTGATCCGAAGGCAACAGAAAGTGAAATGAGTCTACACTGAGTGTAGTTTGAGCACAGGAGATCTCAAAGCCCCCCCCCCTCAGTGACACACTTCCTCTAGCAAGGACATACCCACTCAACAAAGCCACGCCTCCTAAGAGTGCCAGGCCCATGAGATTATGGGGGCCAATTACAATCAAACCACCAGAACAACTTATAAAAGAAAGCATTTAATTAGGGACTTGCCTACAGCTTCAGAGAGTTAGTCTACAACACTCCTGGCTGGGTGCATGGCAGCAGGCAGGCAGGTGAGACTCTGGAGCAGTCACCGGGAGAGTCCACAAAGCAGAGAGAGAGAGAGAGAGAGAGAGAGAGAGAGAGAGAGAGAGCTGGGAATGGTGTGGGCTTTGATGTCTCATGATGTTTGATGATGTAACATTTTAGTCCTCTCCCTGACACGCCTCCCCCAACAAGGCCACACCTTCTACTCCTTCCCAAACAGTTCCACCAACTGGGATCAAACATTCAAAGATGAGAGTCTGTGGGGGCCATGCTCATTCAAACCACCACAGTATATATGTGGGTACCCAGGGAGGTTGAAGGAAGGGAGTGTCACACCTCCTGGAGCTGGAGTGACAGGTGGCTGTGGGACCTCTGACTGAAGCTGAGAGCTGAACTCTGCCCTCTGCAACAGCTGCCCCTAACCGCTAAGCCGCCTCCCCAGCCCCTCTTTTCTCTTCTCTTCTCTCCTGTCTCTGTCTCTGGTTCTTTCCGTTTGCTTGGTTTTCTAGGAAACTGCTTTACTATTTAGCTAAATCTCGATTCCACCTTCCTTTTGTTTTTTGTTTTTGCTTTTCCTGAGCGTTGACCTCAAAGTCTTGGGCACTGAGTCTGTGTCACTGTCACTCAGCTAAATACCAGCCTCGGTCATACTCCTCTCATTTTGGTGTGTGGTGACCTCCCATAACCTCTGGGCCATGGCCCTGCTTCCTTGGATCCAGTTCTTGCCTTGGAGGTTTTTTATCAGTAAACAGGCACACTCAAGGCCTTTGCTAGGACAGGGCTGTTCCCAGAGGTGCAGGAACAGGGGAGTACTCCAGGATCCGCAGCCCCTTCACAGACAGGACCCTGAGCCAGAGGAGTAAGGGGAGACAGCCTCAGCAGGAAACCTGCTGACAGCTGAGGGCTTGGTGTCACACACATGCACACACACACTCGCGCATGCACACACACTCGCGCGCACACACACACACACACACACACACACACACACACGAGTTGTAGCCTTTGGTAGAGGAGCATAGCTCCTGCCAAGAGAGCAAAGCTTGATGAGTAGCCTGATCTCGGGCTCTGGCTATATCTCCATGGTGGAGTGCCACCTGGCATGTCCCAGGCCCCTGGGTCCAGTCCTCAGAATAGCTGGGGGAGTGTAGGGACTATCCTGGTCACATTCTCTTCCTTTTTATTCTGCCATCTCTCCTCCGGGCAAACTCAGCAGAAGGCAGAAGGCCAGGGACCTGTGAGCCTGGCAGAAACCAGCCCCTGGACAAGCAGGGCAGGGGAGAAACAGTGAGTGGGGGTTAGGCAGAGAATGACCAGCCTCTGGCTGCTCTCCTCTTCTTGGGTTCAGCTTTGTGGATACACTTTTAAAAAATAAAAAATTTTATTTTATAAACATTTGGTGTTTTGCCTGCAGGTATGTCTGTGTGAAGGTGTGGGATCTTGGAGCTACAGACAGTTGTGAGCTGCCACATGGGTGCTAGGAATTGAACCTGGGTCCTCTGCCTGAGCAGCCAGTGCTCTTAACCACTGAACCATCTCACCAGGATCTGATAGACTTGTTTTTAAAAGCACCTTCTGTGTCTACCTTGGAAAATCCTTTTCTTAGCCTTCCAGGCCCAGGCACCCTGTCCATGAGGCAGTTCCAAGATGAACCTCTCCCACCCCAGAGCCCCTGGGTGTCTATACCTATTGCTCCATTGCTTAGCCTAGTGGTAGGCATTACTCTCCAAGCTTGCATTCCCAGGAGAAGGTTCTGGCATCTTTTATACAATAAGGTTCCTGCAGACCTGGGCCAATAAAGCCATTTGCTGTGATACAAACTCAGCACAGGGCAAAGGTCAATGTGTGCCAGGGACTGGGTCCCACGACCTTGCTCACCAAATGCCACCTGGGTGGATGAAGTCTAAACATGTATATGCATCTCTTCCATGGTCCACTGGAGCTGTTTAATTATGGATAGTACGATCCTGGCAGGAAGCCAGTATACTATGCTGCCTGAATTGGTCTAGATACCATCATCCAGCCTTCTTTTCAGTACTCCATTCAACAAGCATTTTATTCTATTTATTATTATTGATGTTGTTATTATTTTGGTTTTTCAAGACAGGGTTTCTCTGTAGTTTTGGAGCCTGTCCTGGAACTAGCTCTGTAGACCAGGCTGGACTCAAACTCACAGAGATCTGCCTGCCTCTGCCTCCCAAGTGCTAGGATTAAAGGCATGCGACACCAACGCTGGGCTATGTTATTTATTATTATTATTGTGTGTGTGTGTGTGTGGCCTGGCAGCATGTGTGCCACAGGGCGTGTCAGAGGACAACTGTGTAGACTTCGTTCTCTTCCAACTTTACATGGAAAGTTCTGGGATTAAATTCAGTTGCCAGGCTTGCTCAGCAAAGTGCTCTTACCCATGGAGACCACCCAACAAAGTTTTCTAGGACATGCAAGGACAGAGCATTGAATAAGTCACACTGTCCCTGTCCTCATGGAGCTTCCATTTTAGTGGAGGAAGCAGGAAAGAAAGGAATTACAAAGGAACACTATTAGCAGGGCAATAGTGGTGCACATGTCTAATTCCAGCACTTCAGAGGTAGAAGCAGGTGAATCTCAGGGAGTTCGAGGCCAGCCTGGTATACAGAACGAGTTTCAGCACAGCCAGGGCTGTGAAGTGAAACCCTGTATTGAAACGCTGCCAGGACCACCCCCCCCAAAAAAAAAAAAAACACCCAACCAAACAAAAAACGCTCTTGGGTTTTTTGTTTATTTGTTTTTGAGAGTTATTTATTTAATTATGTGTGAGTAAGTACACGTTCCTGAGGAGGCCAGAAGTGTGGGAACCCCCTGAAGGTGTCCTTACAGGCAGCTGTGAGCTGCTGCCTGGTGTGAGAGCTGGGAACCCAACTTCTGCAAGCCTCAAATAAACCCCGGTGTTTCCTACTTAGCAGAAAGGCTAAGTGGGTGTGTGGATACTGTGAGGGAGGGGTGCCTCTCTGAGGAGACAACATTCAGGCTGAATTCTGAAAGAGAACAGAAGCTAGAGAGGGCATTGTAGACAGGCACAGCAGCAAGGACAAAGGTCCAAGCTTGAGTTTCTGGGACTTTGTAGGGATTCATTTTTTCACCCTAAGGAGCTTAGTGGGAGCCGCCAGGAGTTAAGGATGCTGCCTTGGGGACACTTGTGACAGCTTCTGGGCAAGGGTGCTGGAGGGGAAGAGGCAGCCCCCCGTGAATGCTGCCCGTTGCTTAGCACCTTTGATAAACAGCAGGCTGGCAGGCAGGCTTTGCCCTTGCTCCCTTCCTTCTCTCTGACTGGCAACAGCTGTCCAGCAAGCAGCGGGAGGCCCTGCCAACATCCTCCCCTGGAATATTTCAGGGGTAAGTCAGAAAGTGACCAGCAGCCTCCAAAACGCTTTTCTCCCATATACCTTACATGGGTATATTGGGTTGCTCTGGGTGGTTAAGCTTCCTCCCCTTGGCACTCCACAAAACCATGAAAAACACGGCCACAGGAGGCACCCTCGGCCCACAGCTGCAGTCACACACCTATCCCTACCTCAGCTGCCACACTGGCATGTCAACCCAGTCAGGCTCATACACACTCACATACGGTTTCACACCTGCTCCCCAGTCGCTGCAGCCAGTGTCCATCTTCCCTAAGAGCACTCACAGCTGGCACACTCGTACACACTCACCCTGCAGCCAAAGCCAAGACACACAGCCCCAAGACCACACAGGACACGAACAGAGCCACACGGGGGTCTACAAGCCTAGATCTACCTCCTGCTCCACACCCGGAACCTTACCAGATGTTCCCAGCTGTGGGCACATGAAACACAATGCACATCGGCATCATTTCTCCTTCTCCATCCCATCAAGGATCTGATTGAACCTGTGTCCAGCCTGTTCCTCCTGGCCCAGGCCTGCTGGGTGCACAGCATTCTTCTGCAGTTGAATCAAAGCCCTTCTCTCAGACATGGGGACTAAGTGGAAAAAAAAAAAAAAAAAAAAAAATCAGAGTAAGAATGCCTGGGGCCCAGGTCTGGGAAGGGGCCCAGAAGCTCTCACTGGAGGGGAGGGGTGGGAGAGCCTTCAGTGTGGAAGTCTGCCTAGGACACTGGTGGGCCGAGGACTTAGTTATAGGTATATGCCTTGAAACAAGACACAAACGACTGAGTCAGAGCCACTCCAGCTATGGCCCCCAGCTGTCATCAGACGCATGGGGTGTGGCGGGTAACCCCCCTTCTCCAGCAGGCGCCCTGCTCCACCCCTTCACGACAGCTGCGGGACACCGGGAGGGTGGCTGCTCTCCAAGGCCTTGCAGGGGTGGGGATCGCAGGGCGCCGACACGAGGGGCGTTGGGTCCCTCTGGGTACCCCACCACTAAACCTTCCTCCCGCCTCGATTGGGCCCGGGAACTGCTCCCCTGACACTGCACGCCCCCTCCTCTCCTGGCCAAGCAACCCGGGGGCAGAATGAAAGGTGGAGAGAAGAAGGTTCCGGAAGCGCCTCTGGGCGGCCCCTCATCCCACCCCACCCCAACCCCCCATCCCCTCCCACCCTCTCCCCGCCCCCCAGGGCCGCAGGGCCCGCGCCCTCCTCCCGCGGGAGATGGTCCGGGCCAAGTGGGCGCGTCCGGCCCGGGTCGCCGGGATCTGGTGTCCGCTGCAGCTGACAGTGCGGCGGACGCGGGCACCGGCACAGCCGCCGGCGGGGCCGGCTATTAATAACGCTCCGGGCGAGCCCGGGGTCGGGCAGTCATGGCCAGTCCGGAACCCCTGCGCGGCGGGGACGACGCCCGGGCTGTGAGGTAGGATCCTCCAGGGCCCGTGTCGCCACCCAGGAGGAGAGGGGGTGTTAGGTGGGCTCCCGTCCCCAACCCGCGGCCCCCTCCTCCTCGCCCGGGTGTGGCCCGGGCGGAGCCACACGGGGAAGGGCGACCGGAGGCCTTGGCTTGGGGACCTGACACCTCCTGGTCTGTGGGATTTTGTGATACTCTTTCCACGCGCTGCGAGAGAATTAATCCTTTCAGGCTAGCAACCTGTCAAAATTTACTTGGTTCAACTGGCCAAGGGATAGTATAAGTTTTATTTTATTTTCCTTTATTTCTCATTCACTTTCTCTTGGGGCAAGGGAGAAACCATTTGAGATTTCACTGTATTTCAGCCACTTGGTGCAGGGCTGGGCAACTGCCAGCTTGAAGAGTCTGTTCCTCTTGTTCTTCCCGGTTTGGCTTGGGTGGAGGCCTATAGAGGAACTATTCTAGCCCAGCATTGGACCGTTGTTGGACCCAGCAGTTTTCCACACTGTGAGCCTTACCACTGGTGATTGTGGGGTCGTTCTGCCCCGAGTCACATTGTGGCCCGGGGACTTCCCAGTGTATCAAATTGTGGGAATATGTCCCGATACCCTCTGTTGTCACGTGAGAAGATAAAGCTGCCTGGCATCTTAATGCATACATTTTGCCTGAATTGCCTACACACATACTAATAAGCTTGAAGTCAGGCACAAGCTCTTGTTCACATGATGCCACACACACATCCAGCCACAGTCTGATGGACAGCGGTAAGGAGTTGTCCAAGTCCTCTGGGGACAGGGACAGAGTGGTGGTGGCACTGAGGTCAGGGGCCCCAGCTGAACACTCTCTCTGCTTGGCCTCCTGTCATCTGCTTCTTTGCCAGCTCTGTAGAGGAGCAGCTAGCTGAGAACAACATCTGGGACCCAGCGTGGTGTGCCAGCCCAGCCCGGAAGTCAGGAAGCCTGGATTCTATACCCTAGACCTGCCACTTGACCTTGGGCAAATTTCCCCTTGGAGTTCAGTTGGTTTTTGCTTGCCTTCCCAGGGCCCCGCACTAGGGTACAGACAGACGACTGGCCTTGTCTTCAGGATGTCCACTCTCATCCAGTGCACATGCTCACTTCCGTAAGAAAAAGCCACTGCCCCTAAAGATGAGCTACGTTCAGAATGTCGTGAGAACACAGTGGGTACACAGGAGATTGAGTTGGACAATGATTAGACATTTGCTAACTAAACCAATTGTTTTTTTCTGGGCTGGGAAATGAACCTAGTACTTCCGACATGCTAGGCAAGTGTTCCCTATCTCAGCCTCACTTCCTGACCCCACACCCCAACCCTAGCCTTATACCCGCCTCAACACTACACCCCACCACAACCCAACCCTGGAAAAACGTTCTGAGCCAGGTGCTGTGGTGACACACACCTTTAATCTCAGTGACCCAGAGGCAGAGGCAAACTCTATGAGTTTGAAGCCATCCGGGTCTACAGAGAAACCCTGCCTCAAACAAACAAACAAACAAAAACAAGCAAAAAAGAAAGAAAAAAAAATAAAAGAAAGGAATTCTGATGAGATGTTCTAAACCCTCTTTTAGGCCTATGCTTAGCTGTAGGCAGAGGGCTAGACTCTGCTCTTTTCTGATACCTCAGGTTCGCTTCCCAGGCTTTGCACTCCAGCTTGTTAGTCTCTGTACGGGGCATAACAGACAACAGTTTACAAGTGAGCATCCATGCAAGTGCTTAGAATAGTGCCTTGAGCACGGTTAAGTCATTCCTAGGAGGAACACAATGCAAAGGCCATCAGCCGGGAAAGCGGGGACTTTGGCAGAGCAGGACAGGTGGGCCTGCCTGCCTGAGCAGGTGCTTCTTCTTGGTGCCAGGGATTTTGCCTTCTCCGGTAGCTCCAGTTAGTGTTTTTAGGCAGATTGGTATTCAGGAAGTTGTATTTTTCAGCTAGGTCCTTCAGATATTGTGGGCCCAGAGTAGGAGGTGTGAAAAGTTACCACATGTTCTGGGTTGTCAGGTGCTGGGGGTGTTACAGGGGGGATGTGAGCTGAGGCTAAAAATGGTGAGTTAGGGCCACCTCTTTCAGACTTTGAAAGCTGGGTGGTAACACATGTCTGTAGTCTCAGCACCTTAGAGGCTGAGGCAGGAGGATTGCTAATACTTCCAGGCCTGGGACTGGAGAGATGGCTCAGCTGTTAAGGGCACTTGTTGCTCTTGCAGAGGACCTGAATTGAGTTCTCAGCTCCCACATGGTGGCTCACAGCCATTCATAACTTTCATAACTCCAGTTCCAGGGGATTCAATGTTCAATGCCTTCTCTCTCTCTCTCTCTCTCTCTCTCTCTCTCTCTCTCTCTCTTTTTTTTTTTTTTTTTTTTGGTATTTTGGTTTCTTTGTAGCTTTGGAGACTGTCCTGGAACTAGCTCTTGTAGATCAGGGTGGTCTTGAACTCAGAGATCCACCTGCCTCTGCCTCCTGAGTGCTGGTATTAAAGGTGTGTGCCACTACTGCCCAGAGGCAGTGGGGTTTTGTTTTTATTTATTTGGTGTTAGATTAAAATTTTAAAATTTATTTTTGGGTCAGGCGGTGGTGGTGTGTGCCTTTAATCCCATCACTCGGGAGACAGAGGCAGGTGGATCTGTGAGTTCGAGGCCAGCTTGGTCTACAAAGCTATGCAGAGAAACCCTGCCTCAAAAAATTAAAAAAAAATTGGTATACATGTTTTTAGTTTATGTGAATATTATTTTGCCTGCATGTGTAGATGTGGAGATTCTGGAACCCCTGCCTCCCCAGTGTAGAGCAGACTCCCAATTCTCCCATTGATTTTAGCCAAGTGTCTGTTCTCCCTGCATTCAGAAGAGGACACCAGATCTCATTATAGACGGCTGTGAGCCACATGTGGGTTCTGGGAATTGAACTCAGGATCTCTGGCAGAGCAGCCTGTGCTCTTAACCTCTGAGCCGTCTCTCCAGCCCCCTATTTTTGGTATGTATGTGGGGAGGACAGAAGTTGCTGGTGGGCATGAACCACCATGAGGCTTCTGGGAACCAAACTTTGTGTCCTCTGCAAGAGCAGCCAGTGTTCTTCACCACTGAGCCATCCATCCAGCAGCCCCTCTAGTTATTTACTTATTTATTTGGTGTGTGTGTAGGAGTGTGAGTGTGTTGTGTGTGTGTGTGTGTGTGTGTGCATTCAAGCTCAAGTGCGCATGCATTCCTGGGTAGAAATTGGTTCTCTGCATTTGGGCGCCAAGGATCGAACTCAGTTTATCAGACAAGGTGGCAAGTACCTTTATCTGCTGAGCCACTCCCTGACCCGTGTGTGTGTGTGTGTGTGTGTGTGTGTGTGTGTGTGTGTGTGTCGGGGCAGATTTTCATGAAACCGTATCGGCCTCAAACTCACTAAGTAGCTGAGGTTGGCCTTGAATTCCTGACCCCCTCCCTCCACCTCCCAGATTCTGGGTTTGCAGGCATGCATTTTCAGGTTTGTCTTTCCTTGTTTTTCCAAGACCCTTGGGTGTGCTGTGTAGAACACTCACTGTGTCTGAGAGTAAATTTCCTGTTCTTGAAGTGACTAGGCAGAGACTAGCTAGTGTTGCCATCAGGGAATGTGAACAGTGGGCTGTGTGTGGACGAGGGGGCAGATTGGTTGGTGAAGGGAGTAGATAACAGACTGAGGACCTATGGCAACTAGCCCTGGGGTGGAGGCCCAGTTAACACAACGGACAGGACTGCCCTTCCATCACTGTCCATCATCTCTCTTGCAGGGAAACAGGTACAGAGGCTGGTTTGTCTCTTCAGGACTCAGAATCCCCGAAGGAGACCATGACTTTGAGCCCCGAGGCCACTTTATCTTTGGAGGGGACTGTGAACCTAGATGACATTCTCTACCTGGGGGACTCAGGGGACTTTGAAGGGAGTCTTTACATGGAAGAGTTTGAGGAGCCAGAGAAAACACTATATATCGAAGAATCGAGGCAGCCAGAGGAGGCTCTGTGCCTGGAAGAGCCTTTGAGTCCAGAGGAGACCTGGCTTGTGGAGGAACCTGTGAAGCCAGATGAGGTTCAGTTTTCAGAGGAGCCTGTGGAGCCTGCTGAGAGCCCAAGCCCAGAGCAGACTGCTTGTGAGGCGGCCCTGGAGGAAAGCCTCCCAGCTCCACAGAGTCCCAGCACAGAGGAGGAGCTCAGCGTGGAGGATCTGGAACTGCTGGAAGGCCGATTCCAGCAGTGCGTACAAGCTGTATCCCAGCTGGAAGAGGAGAGGGATCAGCTTATCCACGAGCTTGTGCTGCTCCGGGAACCAGCCCTGCAGGAGGTACAGCAAGTCCACCAAGACATCCTGGCTGCCTACAAGCTGCACGCACAGGCCGAGCTGGAGCGTGATGGGCTCAGGGAAGAGATCCGGATGGTGAAGCAGAAACTGTTCAAGGTGACCAAGGAATGCGTGGCCTACCAATACCAGCTGGAGTGCCGCCAGCAGGACGTGGCTCAGTTTGCAGATTGCAGGGAAGCGCTGAGCACTCGGGCAGCCCAGCTCTCGGGAGAACTGACCCAGCTCCGAGATGCCTACCAGAAACAGAAGGAGCAGTTGCAGCAACAGCTAGAAGCACCCCCAACCCAGAGCGACGGGCACTTTCTCCAGGAGAGTCGGCGGCTGTCGACACAGTTTGAAAACCTCATGGCTGAGAGCCGCCAGGGCCTGGAAGCTGAGTATGAACCTCAGCTGCTGCGACTCCTGGAGAGGAAAGAAGCAGGGACCAAAGCTCTGCAGGACACTCAAGCAGAGATCCAAAAGATGAAGGAGGCTCTGAGACCCCTGCAAGCAGAGGCCCGGCAGCTCCATCTTCAGAACAGGAACCTGGAGGACCAGATCACGCTCGTGAAGCACAAACGCGACGAAGAGGTTCAACAGTACAGGGTAGGCCTGTCGGCTGTGTGAGAGAAAGTTTGACTATGGAGTCCAGGCTGGCTCGGAGACCTTGAGAAACTTGAGACCCTTCCTGCCTCAGCCTCCTGAGTGCTGGGATTATAGGTGTGTGCCACCACACTCAGCAGAAGTGACATCTTTTAGGTGAAGGGAAGGCTTTTTTCTTTTTTTCCTTCCAAGACAAAGTGTCTCTGTGTAGCCCTCGCTGTCTTGGAACTCACCCTGTAGACCAGGCTGGCCTCAGACTTAGAGATCCACCTGCCTCAGTCTCCTGAGTGCTGGGACTAAAGGTGTGGTGGCTACCACACCCAGATAGGCCTAATGTCTTTGGGACTGGGGTTACCATTCACCCTGTGAAAGAAGAAACTGTTCTTGGGTCCAGTAACTTATTCTTTCCTCCTGTCCTGCATTAATTTCATTTAGTTAAGGTCAGTGTTGGGATTTGACCAGTATTTGTATTCTTGGTTTACACAGCTCTTTGTGTTTTGGAAATTGAACCCACAGTGGCATGCTTGTTAGGCAAGTACTCTACCACTAATATCCCCTCCATCCCCCTTTTTTAAAAAAGATCTTACTAATGTCAGGCAGTGGTGGCGCATGCCTTGAATCCCACCATTCTGAAGGCTGAGGCAGGCTGTTCTCTGTGAGTTCAAGGCCAGTCTGATCTACAGAGTTACAGGTCAGCCATGTGCTTGTAGTGCCCAAGGAAGCCAGGAGAGGGCGATAGAGCCCCTGAAACAAACTGTGATTACCGACCATTGTGAGCTACCATGAGGGTGCTGGGAACTGAACTCAGGCCCACTGCAAGAACAGCAAGCCCTCTTATGCCTTGAGCCATCTCTCCAGCCAACATCCCAGTCTGACAGCTATTTTTACTCTTGGTTTATATAGCTCTGGGGAGGGGGGCAGGGCTTCACACGTGCTAGACAAGCTCTCTAATGGAGCTTTATCCACAATCCTCTTTTTTAAAATACATTTTTAAAGATTTATTTATTTTATGTACATGATGCACTATCTGCATGTTTGATGCAGGCCAGAAGAGGGCATCAGATCCCATTACAGATGGCTGTGAGCCTCCATGTGGTTGCTGGGAATTGAACTCAGGACCTCTGGAAGAGCAGCCAGTGCTCTTAACCCGAGGCATCTCTCCAGCACCACCACCCCTCCAGCCACAGTCCTTTTTTTCCCCCCATACTGAAAATTTTATTGAGGGGGAGGTAAGAAAAGAGACACAGAGACACAAAGAGAAGACAGAAGGGAAGAGGGGGACAGGAAGGGTCCTGTCTGGCCCAGGGGGATAGTAGGAGAGGGACCACAGTCTTCTTTTTACTTAAGACAGGGCCTAATTTGATTAGGTTAGTCTTGAACTCACTCAGTAGCTCAGGCAGGCCTTGAATATGAGATCTTCCTGCTTCAGCCTCCCATGTAGCTAGGGCTGCAAGCCTGTGCTACCAGGGTAAACGGGCTATCATACCTGGCTTGGATTCTTAGGTTTTATAGACAATGAAACTGAGGTTCAGTAAGGTAGTTTGAACCTGTGCCTGCCCAGCCTTCAGTATTTAAGTGTCCATTTCATGGAAGCCTTTTGTAATTGTAACTGAACAGTGAATCCTGCTTGGCTGTCGTCGGGAGAGCTAGAGTGCAGTGAGTTTATTCCCTCCCTCTACTGGCCACATTCACCCTCAGGAATCACCTATCCATCCTCCACCTTAAAGCTGTCCAGGGTTTGGGATGGAATCTCTGCATTTTCCTTTTTTGTACATGTCACCATATCCCTTGTATCCGAGTTATTTCTGATTAAGTGTGAGCCAGTTCTAATCCCTTTTTAGAAGAGTAGGATATAAATACTGAGTGAATAAACAATTACGTCTGCTGCCGCTGCACAGACTGGGCTATCTTTACTTATCTCCTTTTATTCTCTGCCTGGAGCTTAGGGGACACATTAGGCAAATGCTGAGTTAAGTGTTGCTAGGAACGCTGAGAAAACTTCCATGTGGGGCCTTTCACAGCAGGGATTTGTTTTATTTTCAGACAGTCTCAAGTAGCCCAGACTAGCCTCAAAGTAAACATGGCCCAAAGCTCCTGATATTCCTGTCTCCCTCTGGTGGATGGTCCTTTAGCTTGTCATTCCCCTGCCTCAGCCTCCCAAATTCTGGGAGTATAGTGATGCAACATCATATCTAACTTGCTACTTTTGCTTTTTGAAACCTATATTTCCTTGGATAAGCTTAAAATTGTGTGTCTTTCCCTCAAATCTTGAAAATGGCTGTATTTATGATTTTTCAAAAGTTTTTATTTTTACTTATTTATTTTTTGGTATTTCAAGACAGGGTTTATGTGTATCCATGGCTGTCCTGGAACTCACTCTGTAGACCAGGCTGACCTCAAACTCACAGAGATCTGCCTGCCTCTGCCTCCCGAGTACTGGGACTAAAGGTGTGCGCCACCTCTGCCCAGCAAGATTTTATTTTTAATTATGTGTGTTGTTTGGGTATGTGCACATGAATGCTGGGGCCCACAGAGGCTAGAAGCATGGGATTCCTTGGCAGCTTGACTTACAGGTGGTTGAAAGCTGCCTGATGTGGGTTCTTGGAATTCAGATCCTCTGCAAGAGCCATCTCTCTGGCCCTATGTTTGCTGTTTTTGAGACATTGTCTCACTATTGAGTCCATGCTGTCCTCAAACTTTATTCTCCTGTCTCAGCCTCCAGTGCTGAGTTTTCAAGGCCTAGACCACCATGCCTAGCTCCAAATTCTTTTATCCAAAAGGGTTCCTAAACAGTGTTTGCCAGACTCTCCTATTTCATTCCGGTTACTTTTCAAGGGTGCTCTGGAATTTCTCAGGCTGGGCCTGCACTCTTAGTCAGTTTGCCGATATTACCACCTCCATCAACCATCCATTCACAGTTTTTGAGTGTCTAGTATGAATCAGGCTAAGGTGCTGGCAAGAAAGACAGGAAGTAATCAGGGATGAGGTGTTGCTGCTCTTCCAGTTTGCAGTCTGGGAGGGATGCCAGACAAATGAACATTTTCTTAAAATGTAAGCATCATGTTAAAGAGGCTTCCTGAGTCAGGGATGGAGCTCAGTGGTAGAGTGCTTACTTGGTATGCACAAACCCTGGGTCTGACCTCTGGTACTGCACAGAAAAATGAGGACTGACATGGTAGCATGCACCTTTAATACCAACATGCAGATGCACAGGCAGGTGGATCGCTGAATTTGAAGCCAGCCTGGTCTATATAGTGAGTTCTAGCCACACACAGACCCCCCCACATACAAAAAATGCTTGATTTGAGACGGCTAAATATGAAAGTCTTAGACTCAGTGTAATATGAACTTTGAAATGAACATACTTAGATGTGCTGAGCAGTGTAACTGTAGTAGGAATGGCCTGTATGTATGGAGTAGGTATGCCCACTCCTGCCTGGGCAAGCAAATGATTAACAATGGCTATAATGTACTTGAAAGTTCTTCATAGAATTCACTCCTTCTTACACATCTGGGAGCTCTGAAATGTTTGGACACTGAGTAGAGAGGGGAGACTGAGAAGCCATCTGTCCTGTGTTCTGCAGTTCCAGAGTGATGGCATGATGATGTAACCAAGTGACATACGCATGTCCACTCTCTCCATGCAGCCTTGCAGTTAGGCCTTGAATGAGTTCACTGAATGATTAAGTGCAAATATTCCAGGCAGAGGGAACAGATCATCCGAGAGCTTGGGAAGTGAGGTCAGCGTGGCTGAGTGGCAAGCAATGAGTAGACAGACAGGGCGGAGTGGTACATGCAAATCATGCAAATCGTTTTACATCGGTGATTTCCCTTTTTTGGTGTGCATGCCTGTGTGTAAGTATGCTTGCCTGTACATGCTTCGAGAGCAGGTGTCCTGCTCTGTCACTCTCCCACCTTAGTGTGCCTGTCCCTTACTGAACACAGAGCTGTGTGCTAGTAGCCATCCCCTGCCCCACCACACACACACCCCAGTGTTAGGCCCACAGATGTATGTGGTCACATTTGAGCTTGTTGTAAAAGCTCTGGGGATTTGAACTCATGCCCTCATGCTTCTACACCAAGTACTCAGATGCTGAGCCATCTTCTTCACCCAAGTTTTCACCGAACTCAGACTCCTCCCCTCTGTACTTCAAATACACTATTTAAAAAGACAATTATTTGACCAGGGGCTGGAGAGATGGTTTATAGGTTAAGAACACTGCTCTTCCAGAGGTCCTGAGTTCAATTCCAGAAACTACGAGGTAGCTCACAACCATCTATAATGAGATTTGGTGCCCTCTTATGGCAGGCAGGCATACATGCAGACAGAACACTATATACATAACAAACAAATAAATAAATCTTTAAAAAATTATTTGACCTCCCTGGGGAGCAAAAAGGGGATGGGATGGGGGTTGTGAGAGGGACAGGGGAGGAGGGGAGGGTGAGAGAGCTGGGATTGACATGTAAAACGATTTTGTTGCAAATTAAAAAAAAGTATTTGGCAGGCATACAATGGTGGTACACACCTTTAATACCAACACTTGGTAGGCAGAGGCAGGTGGATTTCTGAGTTTGAGAACAGACTGCTCTACAAAGCGAGTTCCAGGACAGCCATGACTACACAGACAAACCCATGTCTCAAACCAACAAACAAACAAACAAAACCCCCAAAACTTCTTTGCTGATTTCATATCTGATATAATATATTCTGATCCCATTCACCCACTCTCTTTTTCCTCCCTGACCTATGCCAACCACCCTTCCCTTCCTGTTTTTGTTTTTGTAAAAGTCTATTTGGCATGGCAGTCTAGTAGTCTGGCCTTCTGGGGTTTCACAGAGAAATCAGAAGAGTCTGTGTCTAAAGAAAGTAGCAAAGTAACAGTGACTCGGGGTGAGCTTGGAGCCATCTGCTAATCCTGGCTTCCGTTCCCTCACAGGTAAAACAGGATCATACCTGATCGTAATCCAAAGGCCAAGACACAGTAAAATGAGATTTCTGAGGCTGGAGAAATGCCCAGTGGCTGAGAGAGTTTGCTGCTCTTTCAGAGGACATTCCCGGTATCTGCACAGGGCAGTTTACACCGTCCTGTAACTCCAGCTGCAAGGGATCTACACCCTTTTCTGACAGCCCTAGGTACCGCACGCACATAATTCATGTATACACATTGAGGTACAGATGGGCATGCATTATTATTTTTTAAGATTTTTTAAATGTAAACAATGTTCTGCCTGATTAGGAGGCAGAGGCAGGTGGATTAAAGGCATGAGCCATCACTGCCCAATCATTAATTTTAAAATTTTATGTATGGGTGTTTTGCCTGTATGTGTGTCTGTATACCACATGCATGCAGTGCCCAAGAGGCCAGAAAGCAGCATCAGATCCTTTGGAACTGGAGTTACAGATGCTTGTGAGCATGTGGGTGCTGGGAATCGAACCTGGGTCCTCCGAATGAGTATCAAGTGCTCTTAAACATTGAGCCATCTCTCCAGATGATGGTGGCACATGCCTTTAATCACAGCACTCAGGTGGCAGAAACAGGCAGATTTCTGAGTTTGAAGCAGGGTTTGGTCTACAGAGTGAGTTCCAAGATGGCCAGGACTATACAGAGAAAGCAAACACTGAGCTATTTCTCCAGTCACTTACTACCCCTACTCATTCCTTTAATAACAGGGTCTGCTTAGCCTTGGCTCGCCAGGAATTACTATGGGAATCAGGTGGCTTCCATCCACCTGCCCCTACTTGTCCTGCCCTGCTTCACCCAGCCTTCTGAGATGCTCTTCATTGGCGGTGGTGGTGGAGTCACTGGTTAGCTAGCCTGACTGCTGAGCCTCCAGGCACCTGCCTAGTTTCCCCAGCATTGGGATTGTAAACTCGTCTCCAGTGATTCTGGGGATTAACTGACATCTCTTATTGTGTGGCCAGCACTTTACTGACTAAGCAATGATATATATGTATGTATGTATATACATACATACATACATACGTACGTATATGTTTTTCTGGACAGGGTTTCTCTGTATTGCTTTGGAGCCTGTCCTGGAAATTACTCTGTAGACCAGGCTGGCTTTGAACTCAGAGATCTATCTGCCTCTGCCTCCCTAGTGCTGGGACTAAAGGCGTGTGCCACCAATGCTTGGCCTCCATATATGTATTTTTTTTCTCTTGCCTTTTTTTTTTTTTTTTTTTTTTTTTTTGAGACAGGTTCTGTACATAGTTCTATCTGGCCTGGAACTCAGTATGAGGAACAAGCTGGTATTTACCTCACAGAGCTCTGCTGGGATTAAAGGTGTGTGTCACCACACCTAGCCATTTTTTAAAAATTGTTTTGAGACAGTCTCATGGCCTCCTGACTCACTGTGATCAAGAATGACCTTGAGTCTGCATAGAGTGCTGGGATCCTAGGCAAGCATCATCATGTTGTCTTATGTCCCATGCAGCATCACCCCAATCCCACCCACCCATCCCCACCCATGCTTTCCCTTACTAAAACTGTGACAGGTGTCAGGGAAGTCTCCCTTCAGAATCCACATTCTTAGGTGGTAAGACCACATCCATGTGGTCCCCCAGGCAGGGCTGGGCACTAAAAAAAGATCTGGTAATGTTGGGTAAAGATGAGCTTTAGCAAGTGTCCAGCGTCACAGACAGATGTGCCTCAGTGAGTATCAAAGCTGACTCCAATCAGAAAGCCTTCTAATAATAGCAGTGCCCAAAACATATGCTTAATATTTCTCAACTGCCCTTCCCAGTCCACCTCCCCATAGCAACACTGTGTTCCCAGTGTCCCAACCCTTTTGAGACAAGGTCGCCTGCAGCCCAGGCTGGCCTAGAGCTTGTGATCCTACCTCTGCCTCCACAATGCATATGCCACCACAATTTATGCTGTGCTGGGGGGGGTGTGTGTGTGTCAAAGCCAGGGCTTTGTGAACAAAAGGCACTCCATCAAACAACAACGTGCAAGTGTTGTCTATAGCGGATGTCAGGTGTTTATTGTCTGGCTCACAAATGTTTGGCCATTCCGTGCAGGAGCAGCTGGAGGAGATGGAGGAGAGACAGAGGCAGTTACGAAGTGGGGTACAAGTCCAGCAGCAGAAGAACAAAGAGATGGAGCGGCTGAGGACCAGCCTTGCTGAAGAGCTTTCAGCATATAAGTCAGTCTTTTCTGCTTCCCAAGACTCACCTGCAATTGACTGAGGATGGTGGGGGGCTCAGGGAATGTTTCATTTAACGAAAGGGGAAAAAAAAATCATTTGGGGAAATGACTTTCAAATTGTGTCCACCAGTGAACAGTTAGAAAACAGCTCTCTCTTTTCCAAGGGCTACACTACCCAAGAGTCTGGAACAGGCTGAGGCAGCTACTTCTCCAGCAGGTGGAGCCAAGGCCCAACCCCAAGGTGATTTTTGTGGGTAGATGACAATGGTGTTTGCTGGTCATCACTGCATTGCTAACAGTACTAATGCCTTATTCTGGAGAGCCTGTACCCTTGCTTGGGATTCTCTTACCTCTATCTGCATAGTTACAGGCATGTGCCTCTGTACCTGGTTACTTAAACCCTTCTATTATTATTATTTTTGTTTGTTTTTTGTTTTTTGAGACAGAGTTTCTCTGTACTTTGGAGGCTGTCCTGGAACTAGCTCTTGTAGACTAGGCTGGCCTCAAACTAACTGAGATCTGCCTGCCTCTGCCTCCCGAATGCTGGGACTAAAGGTGTGAACCACAACTGTTAGTTTTTAATATAACCTCAGGATGTAGCTGAAGCTGGCTTTGAATTCATAGCAGAACTCCTGGTCTTAGCCTCCTAAGTACTACCTATAAATTTATCAAATGACAAATAATTTAAGGATGGTACATGTCTCAAATATACTTAAGGTCAGGTAAAATTGATTTGGAATTTTTTAAGTTCTCTGTGTAACAACCCTAGCTGTCCTGGAATTCTTTGTAGAGCAGGCTGGAACTCACAGAGATCTGCCTGCCTCTGCCTCCCAAGTGCTGGCATTAAAGGCATGAGAAAGCTTTAAGTTTTTAAAGTTTTAAAGATTTATTTATTTATTATGTATACAGTGTTCTGGCTGCATGACAGAAGAGGGCACCAGATCTCATTACAGATGGTTGTGAGCCACCATGTGGTTGCTGGGAACTGAATTCAGGATCTCTGGAAGAGCAGCCAGTGCTCTTAACCTCTGAGCCATCTTTTTTTTTCAAGACAGGGTTTTTCTGTGGCTTTGGAGGCTGTCCTGGAACTACCTCTTGTAGACCAGGCTGGTCTCAAACTCAGAGATCCACCTGCCTCTGCCTCCTGAGTGCTGTACGCCACCAACGTCTGGCCCCAAGCTTTAATTTTTAGTGGGACTCAAAATTACGTTTAGGATTTTGCTGGGCCTCACCAAAATTTTTCTTTGATACATGGCCTCATCATATGTAGCTTTGGTTGGCCTTGAACTCACAGATATCCACATTCCTCTGCCTCACAAGTGCTTGGATTAAGGGTATGCACTACCATTACTGCCAATAACTTTTTTTTTCCAAGATAAGGGGTTCTCTCCCTGGCTGTTCTGGAACTCACTTTGTAGATCAGGCTGGCCTCGAACTCTCTGAGATCCACCTACCTCTGCATCCCAAGTGCTGGGGTTAAAAGGTATGGACCACCACCACCTGGCAAGAACTTTTATATTATAGACAGATCATCTAGTGGCCAGAGAAGGCTCAACAGTTAAGAGACTCACTAAGGACACAGGTTTGGCTCCCAGAACTCACATGACAACTCACAATAGTCTACAGCTCCAGTTCCAAAGGATCTGATGCCCTCTTCTGGCCTTTGTACCAGGCACAGGCATACACGCAGGCATAACATTCATTCACATGTAGAATAAAAAAATATTTAAAGCAAGCAAAATCCAGACTATCGATACACCCTTCCTCTATCCCTAGCACTCAGTTTCCTTGGTACAGCACAAGAGACAGCCCTACTGTCAGACTAAGATTGACAAAGGAGGCCAATGTGAGTAAACTGTGTATTTAAAAATCATTGAGGATATTCATAGAGCCCAAACTACTTAGTCAATATATAAAATAATCAACAATCCTGTCCATTCATTTCTGTGTCAGAATGAGTTTGTATGAGTACGGAGACCGTGGAGTGCAGAAGTTAAAGGCAATTATAACTGCCCCATGTGGGTGTTGGGAACCAAACTGGAATCATCTGGAAGACCCTTATATGCTCTTAACTGCTAACCCATCTCTCTCTCTTGCCCCCTATTTTTTACATAATGAACACAAAGGCTGTGTATTTATTCAGTAGTTGGGAAGTTGTAGGGCCTGCCTAGTATCTTTCAACCAAACCACTCAAGATTAGCTGCTCAGAAAGTTGAGGCAGGAATATCACACATTGAAGTCTGTGTAGTTAAAACTTAGAACCTGCCTCAAAAGGCCTGGGAGAATATATAGCTCAGTGGTAGGTTGTTCACTTGGTTTCTATGGGGCCCTAGTTTAATCCCAAGTATTAAAAACAAAACACACACTTTAATGGATGTAACTCAGCAGTGAATTGCTTGTCCAGCATGCATGTGACAGCAAGTTCTATAACCAGGAAGGAAAAAACAAAAACACAAGCCTGCCAAAGTTGTATACAATACAGAAGATGTCCATACTTTTTATGTCCTTTCCTAGTTAAATTTGGATAGAAACTGGCAATTACTTCAACTGTAAGTTTTTGGGTTTTCTTTTATGGTTATGCTGATCACCTGGAAGTTAAAGCCCTGCAGTTAAGGACAAAGGGAATATGGAGCCTCTGGCCTCCAAAGACACACACAGGTACTCACATGCACAAAATCTTAAAAACAAAACTGAGGGTGTAAAGATGGCTCAATGGTTACCAGCACTTGCTGCTCTTGCAGGACTACGGCTCAATTCCCAACACCCACATGACAGCTCAAAACAAGAGTGTAAGGGATCCAATGCCCCTTTCTGGCCTCCATGGGTTCTCCATGTCCTGTGCACATCTCTCTCCTCTCCCCCTACCCATACTCCAACAAATAAACAACCTAAAATCTAAGGAATAGCAGGCATTATAATACCTGTGTAAAATTAGGCTGGATAAAGACATTTTCATCCAGTTACGCTGTCACAACATGTCCTGCCTCAGCCTCCTGAGCACTGAAACAGTGTCTGCTTACTCACTCCACTGTCACACAGGTTACTATTTATATTGTTGTCGTATTTTAGCCAGGTATGGTGGCACATGATTTTAATCTCAACAGGCAGAAGGCAGGTGGCCGACCTGGTCTTAAATAGTCAACTTCAGGCCAAGCAAGGCTACATGGTGAAATCAACTGAAATAAACCACAATGTAGAAATCTTTCCCCAGTCTACCCTAAGGAAATCTTGGAAGCTCATTGTTTTCTAGTATATTATTTCAGATTGTAGAAAGTGGAAACTTAACTGTTATTTCTTTCAATCTTACAGGGACTGTTTAGAAATGCATTGCCGGATCTGTGACCCAGAAACAAAGCATTTATACTAAAGCATTGCTAGATGGACTTTTCCTCCAAACAGGAAAGGGTGCCAGCAGAGGCCAAGCAATTCACCCTGTGAAAATCACACATTGGTTGCCTTGCTTAGAGATTTTAGGGTTGGCTGTAAGCAGAATACCAGCCAACTTTTATCAGGATTTTTTTCTGTGAGCTGCTGATCTCAGTGCACTGTGGAATGGGGAAATGAGCCTCTCATCTTTCAGCAGAACACTGGGTAATGACTTATCATGTTGCAACATGTGAAGATTATTTATTGCTTTGTGCTGACCCAAACCAAGAATATTTAAGGGGAAAAGGCAGCCAATATTTGCTATATGGATCCATAATTTGAATTCCTTTGCACTGTTGGTGTTAGATTTAAAATGACTCCCTTCACAAATCCATTTCCTTAATGTCTACACTCACATAATTTACTCTTAAAACAGTGTTAAGATAGCCATTTTTTAAAAACCTATATAGCTTCGAACTCATACATCTCCAACTTTATTTTTTTGGAGACATGATCTCAAGTAGTTTAGGCTGGTTTCTAACTTATGCAGGTCAGGATGACCTTGAACTTGTGATCATGTCTCTAACTGGTACCTATTGGGCCTACAGGTGTATGTCACCATCACCAAGCGTGACCCAAATACTCCCCCCCCCCATACCCAGGGTATCAATCACTATATAATGATCTGGTTGTCTTAGAATGCATTACAGACAAGGACTTCAAACTCACTGAAACCCACTTGCCTCTGCCTCCCAAGTTCTGGGATTAACGAAGTCTGCCATTATACCCAGCTTGATAATTTTTATCACAAACTAAAACAAAGAGAACAGGAATCACTTTGGATTTGGATCTAACACTTTATTATCCAGACTTTCCAGAAAATCATAAATGGTTTTGGAGTTAAGAGTCATCTAGTCAGTTCAAGCAAAATCAATCATTATATCTGGTTATCACATGTGGTGACAAAAGCACTCAGAGTCTCTTAATTTCTACCCTTTAGCTCTCTGTAACACTGCTCAAGCCTCTTTCAAATTTAAACTGCCTTAAGTAATCTATCACACTGCCTTTGACATCTTGGAAACTTGTATAACTCTCTAGGAAAGACTTCAAAACTATGTAATTTTACTAAGACTAGTTTGTGTACTGTTTGGTAATGCCTTTATTTTCCCTGGCAGGAGTAAAATTCTCTCTTTTTTTTTATGGTTCTGGGTCTATTATGTTTACTTTAATCTTGATGGTCAAGACCATGGAAAACAACTGTCATCTGAACAAACTCTTTGGGAAACCAGAGACTGGTGTTCGATGGCTATTAAATAAAACTCAGCAGCACAGGGTTTCATAGAAAAGCAATTTATTCCATTATAAGCACTTACACAGTTAGTCATGGAGAGTAACAGGCCTGATGGTGAGACAGGTCAACCAAACTGGAGATGGCATCAAACTATAGTGGTCAAGGACTAACTTCTAAAAAAGCAACTCTTATGAAGGATTAATTTAATTTTAAAAACAAATACAAACTAGCAATACACTTTCTCAACTTGACAGTTCACCAACAGTGTGACTGTCAGTTAAAAACATACACCTTACAACTTGGTGGTCCCAAGTTTAAAAAACAAAACAAAAACAAAAAAACCGCACACAACAAAACCATTTCACAGAAAGGAAAAGAATAATATGGCAATAGCTCAAGAAATACACTAATGAGCAAAAATATAAGGGGAAGGAGGAACGTGTGGTCTGAACTAAAGAAACCAAGAGTCTGGTTTACATAGGAAAATGTGCATCCTGGAAAGCCAGGTGAGAGGACCTTAAAATCTATGACTTGAATCTCCCCTAATTCCTGAATAAAAATGACATCTTGCAATATTTATACTCATGGCTCAGACACCTACTTCACTTGGCTCTAATTCCTTATCCACATTCTGGCCTCTTACTTGAGAATCTGAAAAACTTGGGAATATAGCTTAAGAAGAAAAATAATCAACACATAATATGCCCCATTTCTGAAGCTACTTTAGACCTGGGTTTGTTACTAGAAAATTCCTGAAGAAAAATTTAAATATAAGTCTGTGGCTTTGTTGAATTAAGTCCCCCAGTTAAGATTTAGAAAACACCCATGGTTTGGGCTAATAATATTGTTGGTGGCACCTATTGTAGTCAGATAGCTGAACAAAGTCTGTGTCTCAAACCAGTGTTAAATCCATCTCAGGGTTCAGAGGAAAACAAGGGGAGTCTGAATCACAAGTGCAGACATGTCTAGGATCCTTGTCCTTCTGGATCCACACTTCCTTCAGGGTCTTCATCATTATAAATATTCTCTGCCTGCCAGAGAGAAGGGTATTTAGTATGAAGACAGTTATTTCTTAGAGTTTCCATAAAATAATATGCAAAGGTGCCTGATAACAATGTCCCAGAGTCGGGTGTTGGTGGAACATGCTTGGTAGAGGCAGGTGGATCTCTGTGAGTTTGAGGCCAGCCTGGTCTACAGAGCAAGTTCCAGGACAGGCTCCAAAGCAATATAGAGACATACCCTGCCTCAAAAAACAAAGGACCATATAGTTTTTTTTTTTTTTTTTTTTTCTTTTCCGGTTTTTCAAGACAGGCCTAGGGCCATACAATTCTAACCATTCAATGCTACTGTTGAATTAAAACAGCAATAGACAACGCACAAACAGCATGAATCATAAATGGGTACATGTGGATTCCACGGAAAACGAGCAGGCCACAGCTCCCCAGCATAGGGCATTTTTCACAAAGATGATGCTTATCATTCCTGAACCCTTTAATCAGATATCACTGGTAATAGTTAAAAAATATAAATCAGGAGTCTCCAATGAGATACACAGTGACACTTACGAGCACAGAATTTTTTTTAGCAATGATAAAAACTGGAGTATGAAAAAACTCACTGAATAGTTAAGTTGAAATAAAACCATCAAGCCTTATGTCCAAATTTCAAATATAATCTCTTGTCTCAGTTTTCCCAAGAATGAAGTTTATAGAGCTACCATGCACCCTGTTTATTATTGGGTACATATACGCTTATGTTCACTTTCTCTCTCTCTCTCTCTCTAAATGGAAGAGATAAATACAGGAGGGAGCAGAGCATTCACACTACTTCTCTCCTAGCAACCAGAACCTGGATGCTCAAACTACCAATTTCAGTTGTGCTAAGATCACAGGGCAAGCCAAGAGCTTAATCTCCCTTCCCCACTGGGGAGGCTGAGATTTTTCAAGTAGCTAATTTTTAGCACTTATGCTGACTAGCTCAGCTATGAGGCTATCTAGGGGCCTCACCAAAACCTTAGTAACAGACTCAGGTGCGGCCCAAAAGGGATCATCATCATAAACAAAGGCAACTGAGCTGGAAATTTCAATGGTTTCTTAGCAGTTCTATGCCACAAAAGAAAGGACAAAGTCCAAGTATGTACTACTTATTATATGGACACAACCCACAACTGAGGCAGTGACCCTGGAGGGGATCTTATTCATCCCTCTAACCTTATCTTTTGGCCAACCCTCTTCCCCCTGGACCCGGGGCAACCCTAAGACAAGGTTTCTCCGTGTAGCCCTGGCTGCCCCCTAACTTGGAAAACTAGGCTATGTATTAGAAATTCTACACAATGAGATCCTTTCTCAAACAAATACAGCAACACAACCCTTTACTGGAAACGAGAGAGACAGACAGCTGAGGAAAATAGGGCAGAGATGGCAGTCGTATCCACGTATATGTGTAATGACGGCCTCATATAGCTAATGTCCCCTAAATAAATGGCGGAACACTTACCATCTGCCACACTTGCATGATGTTGTCTTCTGATACAGAACAAATCACCCAAGGTTCATTGGGATTCCAGGAGAAATCAGATATCTTGGCAGTGTGACCACCATGAATAAACTGGAAGAGGGACCAAAACAAAGATATTTAAACAGACAACATTAAATCACAGCCCACTATTTAAAACACAGAAGACTCCAAAGTACCCGAAGGCTTGTAACATACCAACAACTCTGGTGGGCCATCTTCTGCATCTTCTGGGGACTGTTCTTCTCCAATTTTACTTAACAAAAAAGAATTTTAAGTCAGAAAACATTACCCTGTGTGGTAGTAGTTTGAATGTAATTGGCCCCCATAAGCTCAGAGGCACTATTAGGAATTTTAAGCTACCCAATTAAATGTTTTCTTTTATAACACTTGCTGTGGTCATGGCTCTTTCTTCACAGAAAAAGAAACCCTAAGACAGCTGAGTACCTACCTTTGAAAAATGTAAAGACAACAACTTTGCCATGCTTGGTGCCACTAGGGAGGCAGAGAGAAGTGAATTTCTCAGAGTTTGAGGTCAGTCTAATCTACAGAGCGAGTTCTAGAACAGTGAGGGCTACATGGGGAAAACTGTCTTCTCAAACCAAAAACAAAAAACCCCAAACAAACCAGTAACTTCACCGATAGGTTAACTAACACAAAACTCACCTTAAATCCCAGAGGTTAACTAACACAAAACTCACCTTAAATCCCAGACATTCAGCCTACGATCAGTACCACTAGAAGCCAAAATAGTCTCGTTGTGAGGTGACCACTGAACCTATATCCAAGAGTGAATGCAACGAGTCAGAAATATAAGGGGAAGAATATCTCAAATTGTAACCTACAAAAACATTGTAAATAAAAGGCAGAGAATACTGTTAAAACCAACAGATATTTCTTATATAAGAATAACTCACCAGGCAGTGATGGCACATGCCTTTAATCCTACCACTCAGGAGGTAGAGGTAGGCGATCTCTCTGAGTTCAAGGCAAGCCTGGTCTACAAAGTGAGTTCCAGGGCAGGCAGGACTGTTACACAAAGAAACCCTGTCTTGAAAAATCAACCAACCAAAACCCACAAAACCCCCACCTCATTACTAGAGATAGGATACTAGCTTTTGTTGCCATTTTACACCTCACCCACCTTCTCTCCCAAAAGGGCTGGAGAACACATGGCTCAAG